TGTACGTATGTATGTTTGTGCATGTATGCATGTACGTACTGGCGACACCGTTTGTTTTGAGGGGGGAGCACATACGCACAGAGAGGGAGAGGACGAGAGGGCTTTAAAAGAAGTCAAGATGGGTCACGGCTCCTCGATCTTTCTCAGAACAGGCTGGAGGTCTTCTGGTAGGCCTCCCATCTTCTGTGAGATCTTCAGCATCAAGGTCTCGTCCTGGGATTAGCAGTGCTTACCTCTGCAGTCAGAGTCTGGTACTACACAGTCCTGGTAATACTTCATGGCAGCCTCCATACCGTTTTTCTTGATGTCCTGGTCAGGAATGCCGGCTCCATTCTGCTTCATGAACAGCAATTAGCTTTTTTTTCTGCACAGCTCTGCGACGTCCTCGAACATCTCCTTCAGCTCGGGATCCTGTTCCAAAGACTTGACGCGATCCTGTCAGAGGAAAGGAACTTGGGCCTGATCGAGGCTTTAGATGCAAGAAACGAAGAGAGCGTGAGAAGGGCTTTCCCAAGGCTACTTGCGCCTGGACGGGTGCATCTCCACTGGTGAGCTTCCTCGGGAAAGCTCTTGCAACTTCTTTGCTCTTGCATCTTCTGATGGCTCAGACATGCTCAGAAGAACACATCCTCACCTGTTCTGAGACTCCCACGTGTTGTAATGCTCTGCAATGGCCTGCGTTTGAAGCCAGCCACGCATCGCCTGCAGAGTGAACGGGAAGACGGCTGAATGAGGCGTTCAACAGAGGGGGTGGAAGCAGACCTCGGGATTCTTCGCGAAGTTCTGCAGAGATTTGGCAGTTTCGGGATTGCCTAGGCAGAAAACACCCATCCACCACTGACTGCGCATATGCCGTCCATCTACTTCCCTGGAAGATCACTGCTTGCTGCCAGGCCGACTCTCCACATACTGCTTCACCTGCAGAGGGTGCTGGAGCCTTTCGCCGCTTCCTCAATGTGAATATTCCTGGCCTCTGCCCATGTCGCATCATCGATGTCAGGAAGCCTTGTAATCTCCTGCAAGCAACTTCCAAGGCTGTCGAATCCGCGCTAGAGAAGACTATGGTGAGATTGGAGGTCCATCGTGGTACCATCGGCGATCTTGAGCGTCTCCTTGGCTTTGCTCAGCCTAATATTAATGTAATGTATGGTCCTAGTCCTGAGCTGCTCCGACACCGAAGCCTTCATTCGAGGCACCGTGCTCGGCGCTGCCATGGCCTCCTGAAACTGGAAAGAGAAGCCGGATTTAAAGACGGCTTGGTGAAGAGTGGCTGCGGCTTTTCCGAGCGCGGTCTTCTCAAGAGCAGATCTGCTGCATACTGGGCAGGCAGTGCATCATCGCCACACATGCAAGAGGGAACTGTGGATCCTGCGGACTGATGGTGTGGAGGATTGCCTCTTGACAGCTGCAGGTGCCGAAGTGTGCTGAAGCCGTCTCGCCCAGACAAAAGACACCGGGCCTCCGTATCTGCCAAAGCCGCAGAAACGCTGGCAAGGCAGGATGGGCTCACCTCCACAAGCGCCGGCCCGCGATGTACGCATGCCGCTACTGTTCCGGTGGTGCTGGGATGGGTTGTGGTCCAACGCGGACCGCTGAGTGAAGCATGGAAAGGCAAGGGAGCAGCTCAAATCAAATCGTGACACCAACAGCAACAATCTTTCCTAGACCTGAAAGACATCTAGAATCTACAACAAAGATGCAACATTTGGGCCGCGTACGCTCCCTCTGGGAAACAGCGACATCCACCGGTCATCTTCCTTGGCACATAATCGCAGCTCGCAGCTAGCACGGATCATGTCGGCCTCGCTGATGAGCTGCTGGCTACATGTATGATGAGCGATTATGCACGACACATGAATGGTCCGAACTCATGCAGCCTTTGTTGATAACTTGTCCAGGTTCGGGTGTCTCGCCATCTGCGGGGAGCACGTTCACCTTGACACTGCAAGAAGGATAAGCGCTTTGCCAACGGCACGCTAGCGGCCGCTAGCGGCTAGCGCCCAGACTGACAGGCCGACACCCATCCCAACACCGTCCCCTGCAAACCCGCTGGCGGCTTGTCCTCGCCTTTTGTTCTTCCTCCTTCTTACGGACTCATCCCCGCTGCCCTGCAACACAAACAACCTTTTGCTTGTTTGCCTTGCTTGCTTGCTTGCTGGGCGTTTGGGGCAAGGGTGGAGGCCCCCAAACCCGTGTGGGCAGCGCTACAACAACCTCTCACTCTCTCACTCACTCTCACTCCCTCTCTCCCTGCCTCCCTGGCTCTCTCTCGCTCCTCTGTCTTTGCTTTGCTTTGCTAGGGGTATGAGATGAGGCACCGGCACCATGCAGGGAAGTCTTGTACGAGTGTTGGCAAAGCCTTGCCAAGTGCCCCGGCCCATACCGAAGATCGGATAGCCACGCACAGTTTCTGGCAATATATTCACAGAACTTGATTTCTACGTACATGTATGCAACTCTCTCTCTCTCTCTCTCTCTGCTGCCACTTCTTTCTTGGTAGATCTTCGCCTCTTGTTCCCTCTCCCCTTGCCGACGACTGAACTCTTCTTGTCACAAACCGCGGCCTGGACCATCTCTCTCTTTGCCTCTCGCTCTGTCTCACTCTCTGCAAAATCGCAACCCAAGTGGTCATCTGTCAATTCTGAAACGAAGCCAGAAGTCAAGCGTATAGCCGAGGCCAGGACCGTTTGTCCAGCAGATCCTGGCGATAGGTGTTCGAGCTGACTTTCCAGAATTGGGCATCTGCCGCTCTGCCGGACTCATTGGATTGATGCAGCTTGCATCAAGAAGCTTTGTCTGTCACCCTAGCTGCCCTAGCTTAAGCTACATGATGTCACTTAGACCCTGGGCTGTGCTGAAAGCAGGGCCTCGGGAAGCGGCCGCACCCGGGCTTCCTGTTTGGCACTCATTGGAGACCGAACCGACTAAGCAGGCTCTTTGCGATTCTTTGCATCTGCAACATTCAGTCCGCGTCCAGCGGGCCTGAACACACGCGTTGCCAAGACGAAGAGGGCAGCTTGTCGCACTTCGAGATCGCAAATTCCCGCCCCACCTTCAAAGAGCTTCGGGTCAGCAGTTTGACCGCAGCAAAAGCCGCAAAACAAACCCCTCCTTGGACACCGCTACACCTCTGAGTCGTTAGAGCGACTAGCGCCTGGCCCTCTGCCAAGCCTCCAGGATGCAAGTGTCCATCTCCGTGCTCGCTGAGGTGAGGCCAAGGCTTTTCGATCTCACCGTGTCTTTGTTGATGTGTTTGTCGCTTTGGCAGACTCCGCAGCTCGAAACTTGCGTTCGGAGTCTTCAAGTCTCGAATTGTAAATTGCCTGTTCCGGTTCCGACCGTGTCTGGAATGTTCTTGAGCTGGTGCAGGCAAAGCGAGAATGAGAACAGCGGCAGACAAATATTACAGTACAAGCTACGCCCAGCTACGCCTTCAAGCACATTTGATAAAAAAAAAATCTCGAATTGGCACCTCATGGCAAAACATAGAGGGAACTGTACCTCGCAACCGCTGGATCAAGCTGAGACAACACATCACCTCGCCTGTGTCTTCGAATCAGATGTGTGCTTGCAGTGAACGGCCATGTTGCTTACCCCGAAATCAGAACAATACTGTACCTAGCTCAAACCTTGGTGGGGCCATGGCAAGACGCAAACAAGCAGCATGCTCAAGCTTCACGACTTTTCTCTATGCACAGTATCTGAAAGGTCACTGGATGCTGTTGGACCTCATCTGTACGGATACCTGTGAGAGCTGTGATTCAATCGACTACTGAAGAATCTATGGCAAGGGCGGCACGCCAGGATGAAGCCATTTTTCGCTTCAAGCTAGATTCTTCCTGACACTCAAGGCCAGCGGAGTACGTTAACCAACGCGAGTCTATGAGTAGATCCAGTGCGCATACATAGTGTGTACACTGATGTATATGCTCATGTCAACACCTGCCTGTGTTTGTGCAGGTCCTGTGCGTGCGCAACCATTCTACTCCAACTGTTGGTCTCGAGCGGAAACATGTGGAACGGTTCTTGGCCTTTGGCATGGGATTGAGCCCAGCTCGTGCCAACTGACCGAAATAAGCATCAGCCGTCGTGCACTGTGTCGCTGTGGCCTTGAAACGGCCCTATGACAGCAACAGCGCATTAGAATGATTCCAAACCCTTCTGCACTTCAAATGCGTCTCTTTGCCATGGCACGGTGCTGGGTGCCTCCGTAGTGGCGCCACCTACTAGTGACATCTGGTGTCACTTAAATTGGCAACCGACCTTTAGTGAATTGCATTGTTGCCCGCGGAATCCAAGGGTGTGCCATCCACAAGATATCCCACATCCGCAGCGTATTGTGCCGCTGGAAGAGGTGACCCTGGAGAGTGAGGATCGGCTCCAATGGTTTCCTGGATTGCCACACATACAATGTCCAAAGTATGGACCAAACACCCCTGAGGTGGCAGCGAGAAAGAAACGTAAAACCACCTTGCCGAGTTTCGGGGTGGTTGATGGCGTTTCCTGCCTGGTTCAGGGGTGTGCCATCGGGCAAGTACCCCACGTCGTTCACGAAGAGAGCTCGAGGCAGGGGCGATCCTCATCCACTCACCGACCGAATCCAGACGTGCACACACCGCAAGCAGCAAAAACCCCCCGTGTAGGTGCAGGGCAGCTTGTCAAAGGGAAAACGCAGACTCCGGAGCAGCTTCAAGCCCGTACATGACGCGGTTAACAGCGCGTGAATGAGCTCCATGACCAATCGTTCGAACCATGACAAGTACGTGAGTAGTGCTAGCAGTGCTATACGCTAGAAAGGAAAGGTGCACATGCTGCTATCAACCGTACCTCGACATTCAGAATTCAAGTATAAGCAGCGTCAGTCAGCTAACATGTGAGAGGTGCCAATAGCCTCGTCCATATTGTCAGCACGTGGGTACTCTGAAGAAGAGTACTGAATTCGCAAGAGAAAGAGAAGCAACACGTCGACGTGATCGCCGTTCGGATATGAGGTCGGTGTGAGCTACTGCCAGCTCCCAGCTTACGGCTTCGCATGAAGATTTACTTACGTGCAGAGTTGACTTCTGGAGCTACGGTGGCTCCGTGCAAGGTGACTGGTCAGCCTTGTTGTGGTTTGCCATGTAGCTCAAGTGATAAGGCTGAAGGTTGATACCGAACACTCTTGCATTTCGAGTGTAAATAGGTGGATACATGGATAGATAGATGGATAGGTAGCAAGTAGGTGGGCAGGCAGATAGGTAGAGACATAGATAGATAGATGCACAGATAGTTCGATAGCTAAACTATAGATAGATTGATAGATAAACAGATAGACAGATAGACAGGAGGAATAAATATGTGATCTTCTTCCGCGCCTGGTGTATGTGGGTCTGGTCCAATGGTCTCGGGATGATTGATGCAGTTGCCCGCCATGTTCATGGGTGTGCCGTCCGGCAAATAGCCAACCTGTGCAAGGCAAGTTGCCATCTTTCCGGCGATCACCTGCTGAGCCCTTATGCATCCGGCTTCAGCTTTCAGCCATGCCAAGCGGCATCATTGCCAAACTCCAAGTCTGCATAGGCATCCTGGCCAAGCGTGACAGTGCAGTGTAACGCCCCGAAATTCACGCAGTACTTGCTTGCACCGCCTTTTCGCGATTTCTGCGGAGGCTCATCTCCACTTCGATTTCTTCGGTTTGTCTACACGACGCGCTGTCCAGGCGATCCAGACGGCACTGCAACTACAGGTCGCTGCAAGAAACGCTCTGGGGACTAAATCTCGGAAGCGCGTCCTTGCCAGCACAGACGGCAGGTCTCATGTTACTCCACAATACTTTGGGGTTGCTATCGCCAAGCCCCGCGGAAGCTTTACCAAGGCGCGGTTGGGCGCCGCCGTCTCGATTCTCAGCACGGACATTTTGGCTACAGCACCAACGGCTTCTGATACGGATTTCAACTTCGCGCCCGCCTGACTGGAGTAATTACAGTTCACAAAATTTCTGCAAGCTGACACCTACAAACAGCTAGCAAACTCAGCGAAGGTGTCTATTCAAAGCCCCTCCGTCGCTTGCAGACATTCTCCAACCATCCGAGCACCGCGGCTCCTTCTGTGCGGAGTACGCGAAACCCATAGAATGGCGCAATGGGGCACTTGCCGGGACCTCGGTCGACAAGGAACAGTTCTTAGTCAAGAAACCTCCCTAGCAGCAAAAGCTCGGTTTCGGCGGGCACCAGTGGTTTGTTTGAAAAGGTCTGCAGGCGGATTTCATGCCGCTCTGTCCGCGCTACAGACGAACAGACAGTGGTGTTTCGGGGAAATTGGGCGAAAAGCTCAAGAAAGAATTATCAGTGGGACTATGAGCTGTATGTCCCTGCGTGCACTGCATGTTGTTCTCTGTTTATAAGCACTGACACCACTGAACTGACAACATGTACCTGTCTGACAAGTTGCAGACGATCCCACAAATGCGGCCGCCACGGGCATAGGCGTAGCAGAAATGCTGCTCATGTGTCCAGACTCGGCGGATTCGGGAGATCCCTGATATGGCACGGACGAGTGGTGGAGACAAATACGTACTTTCCCGTCGAGGCACCTCCAGGGTTGGCCCAGGCTTTTACTTCAGCAGAATTTGGACACTGCGCTCTGCGAGGCTTTGGGGAGGGGCTGCTTGCAGGCATGCAGTCACAACATGCTTGAGCACCACATGTTCTATCCAGTCCACCTTAAACGCTGCAACCTGCATTTCAACATGTGCTTGGACAAAGACAGCCTCAAACATGCCTACATGCGTTTGTCAGTGCTTGCGGCTGAGAGATTTAATCCTTGAATGTGGATATCCCGACCCTGGCACCTCTTGTATCCGAATGTGTACTCCACCTTGTGGATGCCGCCATCCATGTCGCTGAAGAAGTAGTTGCCCATAGCAAGGGCCAGATCTCCGTTCAAATCGATCTGGTGGTTGTCGAACATCACGTCTGACCAACCCTTGCCGCCGTTGATTGCGAAGCCGTGGTCCTCAGCAATTCCATGACCACCCATCCCGTCGTTGCCGACGAAGTAAGACATGGCCTGGTTTGCCTCAGGGCGGAATTGCATGTCCTTTGCTTTGGTTGGCTTGAAGAGGACATTTCCGTGGCCATAGCCATAGAGATCAGTGGCCGCACGATTGGCAACTGACAAATAGTCCCCACCCTCCAAGTATGCCTTCGAAATGTTTTTGATTGCTTCCGCCCATGCTCTCTGGGCCGCTTTCACCTCCTCCATGGAAACTGGTGCGGCGGTGTGCTCATATGGGACGGACGAGTGGTGAAGACAAATGCGCACTTTGCCATCCTGACACTTCCTGTGCAAGGGCCGGGGTGCATCAAAAGAATGAACCCGAACAGGATCAGCCGAGCTCAATGCCTAAACTGTTGTTCGTTTTGCTTTGGGTATTGGGGGTGGACTTCGAACCCCAGCTCTCCTGTAGCCGAACGTGTATTCCACCTTGCTGATGCTTCGGTCCTCAGCAGATGTGAAGATGTAGTTACCCATGGCAAGTGCCAGATTGCCGTGCAAGTCGATCTGGTGGTTGTCGAACATCACGTCGGACCAACCCTTGCCGCCATTGATTGCGAAGCCGTGGTCCTCCGAGATGCCACCAGTCACAGCGTCGGCGCCTACGAAGTAGGACATGGCCTGATCCGCCTCAGGCCGGAATTGAACATCCTTGGCTTTGGTTGGCTTGAAAAGCACGTTGCCGTGGCCGTATCCGTAGAGCTCGCCGGCTGCACTTGCGGCCACTGCCACATATTCTCCGCCGTCCAAGTAGGTCCTGGAGCTCTGACGCATTCGACATGCTGCGGACTCTGCGCTCAAGGTCTTTGCTTACACTCCAGGTGGGAGGTTCGGGCTTAGATACTTAGGTCAGGTCCTTGAGATGCTTTTGATCGCATCTGCCCACCCTTTCTGGGCACTGATCACTTCCTCCATTGTCAGAGAAGCAGTGCCAGGCATGGCGGCAGGAGCAGCTGCGCCCGGTGCAGGCGCAGCTGCTGGTGCAGCCGCAGGTGGGGGGCCTTGAACAGACCGGTTGCCTGCCACGGACATGTCCGTGCCATCCACCAAGTAGCCCGTGTCGGCAGCGTAGAAGGACGGCGGCAACGGCGAACCGGGAATGTGTGTATCCGGCTGCATGGTCTCAGGATGGTTCACGGCGTTGCCTGCTGCATTCAGAGGTGTTCCATCAGGGAGGTAGCCAACGGAGTTGCTGAAGATGGCCCGAGGCAGTGGCGATCCCGGCGTGTGTGTATCCGGTCCGATAGTCTCCGGATGGTTGATGGCGTTGCCGGCCTTGTTCAACGGCGTGCCATCGGGCAAGTAGCCTAGGCTTCACTGGAATCTGCCAAACATCACAGAAGGTCAACAAGCCTGACATTGTCTGCGGGTCTCGTCAGTTTTGAACAGGATGCACCCAAGACTCAACCCAAGGAGCTCATCATCGTTTGCTAAATCAATGTTCGAAAAGACGACATGCTCCGAAGCTGTTCATCAATCCCAAGACAGTCCAAGCAACCGACATCATTGATGAACTCGTAATCGGCATG